CCAAACTCTCAAATTAAGTTGGTTCCACTCCAGTACAGCAAGTGGCGACATGCACCCTGTTGTGTCGGCATTCTTAAAGTTAGCTTATAGCAACACAGATAGTAAAAAAAACACTGGCAGGAGTGAAGCAGACGGAGTATAAACGGGATATGCACGATGGCTTAAGGAATGGACAACAACAACCCTGCAGCACAGCTTCTTTGGTACGTACTGTACTGTTTGATGGAGTTACACATGTTATTTTTTGGCAATTATATTATCAAAAGACCTCTTTCTCAGTCTTGCCACTTCCAGAAGTTATGGGTATCAGCTCGACGGAGCCGTTTACCTGCAGGTGCAGTCCGCATTTTCTGGGTGCTTCAGTACGATTAGAACCAGTTCACTTCAGAAGGACTAACGTGTTGACATGCATTTAAAAAAAACGACGTCAGTCTATTTATGGAAATAGGTTGGTTTTCTGATGCACATGTAAACGCACTGACTGTCGAAGAAGACGCAAATACATCTTTTTTCTAAATAAAGGACTTAAGTATCTCTATCCGCTCTTGACTCAGAGAAAAGACCAAGTTCAAAGTTGATGCCAAAGACCTATCACCATCTTAGTTATTTTAATCTGTCGCATCTGATCAAGCCTTGTGATTGGCAAGGCACCAAATTTCTCAGACCAATGGTAGACCTGCTGACGCTCCAATGGAGCATGGCTAGAACAACCTGCAGAGAAAAATCATTTTACTGCTTCGGTTGTTCTAGGCCAGGGTTAAGCAATCCTGGTCCGGAAGTGCCACTATCTGTAGTTTTTAGCTCCAGCACACCTAAAAGAATGGTTGAATCACCCGTTCATCCAGTTAGCAAGCTTTGCAGAAGCCTGTTAATTATCTCCAGATATAAATCAGATATGTTAGAATAGGGAAAATAATAAAGCATGCTGGATAGCGGCACTCCTGGAGCAGGATTGCCTAACCCTGGTCTAGATTAATCTATTGGTGCACAGATTATGTGTTGTAATGTCTCTCAACTCGAAAAACAGCTCAAAATACAGCTCAGTCAGTACCAGTATGTATAATGAACTGAACTGTGGACTCATTCGAGGTGACAATGGTTGATTAGCTGTCATCTCAATTAGCCAAAAATGAATCAGTTATGTGCATTCAATACATGCTTTCTGAACTTGATGAACATGCCTGGAAAACCTTAAAAAATCTGAACGTCTAAGTAATTTTGGGGTTTATAGACAAAGACTATAAACACAGACATATATAAAAATAGAGAGAGAGAGAACTGTTTAAGAGTGGATGTTTGATTTTTAACTCATGTGAATGCACCTTCACCATCTCTTCCTTAGAAGCTCTGTTCAAAGAAGCCTCCTCTATAATTTGTGCTCACTAATTTAGAAGCAGCTCCTCTGATTGCAGAGCCACTGTAATGATAAGACACCTTTGCTGCTGCTGCTAAGCTAAAAGAAGACTCCTTTCAGGACGAGCCAAGAGAGATGAGAGCGCACGTCGCAGGGACACAAAGCAGCCTCTCCTCTCTGTTTTTACACCGCACTATCTCACCGCCCCACACGGGCCCTGCTCAGGATCAGTGACCGGCTGTTGGGCTGCAGTAATTAGAGCAGGCTGATACGGAGAGAGGACGCAGCGTCCCCTCTAATGCTCATGTTCCGTCCACCTGGACAGATATTTTTAGCCCACCTTGAATGAGGAAGAACAAGCATCCACATGTAAGCATCAGAGTGTGTCTGCAGAACAGGCCATGACTCAATTAGGCCTGCTATAGATCCAGAGCCCCTGTTCTTTTTTATCCTCAATAATAAGCCTTTCTGCTTCTCTCTCTGGACTCACATCCTCTTTAAGACTATATTTGTGTTTTCCAGAGCACCACTGTGTCACTCCACACCTTCTCCCTTCCACCTAATGAGATCACAATGCCATGAAAACATCAATCTAAACAGCTGTCTCTTCTGTTAATACATCTGCACATGCTTCCCTCGGGGCTGCAACTCCTATGACTTTCTCTCTCCCTGCATTTGACCTCTTTTGCATATCAAACTCTTAGTGTGCTTTAGTGAAACATCACCATTGCATCCACCAGATGCAGATCTCTCCTCCCGCCTGCAGACAAGCACCCACTTTCACACTCACAGCTTTTGTAATTCCTTTTTTTTTTTCCACGATTCCCCGGCTCTGGCCACCCAGCCGCACTATTTTTGAGCTGCTTATCTTCAAACACAGCAATTCCTCACCTCCTGAAGCAAGCAGGCATTCACTTTGATAATAAATGAAGAGGTACCATCCTCATAGTCTGTAGTCACACCAGGAATAAAATTAAGCGAAATAAACAAAACATCAGTCAGTGCTCAGAAAATCAAGCTTCCATCTATCATTCCACCTCTTTTCAAGGCTGAGTTTTGTAATTTACCACCCATCCTTTGAGCCGATCAGACTCCTTGCTGCTCCAACTTAGTGACCTCTTTTTTTGGACAGCACAGTGGCATGCCAGTTCACGCTCTTCCCACGGCAGTCAACAGGCCATATATTATCAAGGCAATTACCTCAGGAGAATGGATGTCTTTCTAATGTCTCCCCATTTACAACATTCAGCGCTCCCTGCTGCGTGCTCCGTCTCCCCCGTGCCGTACCTCACGGAGCACGAGCACAAATTCAATAAAGACGCACACAATGGCACATTTAGCAGCCAGCAGGCAAAGGCAGGGGAAGCAGGATAAGGTCAGTGGGGAGGGCCTGCATGCCGGGTTATGAGCGATGTTGTTGCAGCTGATGCACTAACAGCCATCTGCGTTAGGCTGTAAAAATAGACTAGATGGGTCTACCTTGTGCTGACGTGAAAAGGACAGAAAATATCTAAATTCTAATTAGATGAATGTTTTGGGTACACCGTGTAATTGTGTGTGTCAACAAAGCAGTCAGCACAAAGCCAGGTGTTGAACAGCTGTGTCTCCAAAGCTTGAGGCCATCAAGTGCCAACTAGTATAAGTTTGCTTCCATTTTTTGCAGGTAAAACATCAGAATCACTCATTATGGAACCATGCGTTGGTTACTCTGCCCTCTTATGTGACAAAATTAGCAGAAAGTCAGATATTTTACCAATAAAATTTGAGTTTCGCTGTCTAGAACCTGTTGCCTTGGCAACCAGCCTCCAATAATCTGACAGTTTTGTATTGGTTTGTAAGCTTTGAAGGTGCTGACAGTTATTTATCATTGGTAGAAAATAACTTTTAACTGCTAACCTTATTGATAGCATTATTTTTATCTTTAGGGACTTTTATAGACCTGCTATCTAGGGGTAGACAGATATATCGGCTGACATTTATCGTTTATTTATATATCAGCATATTGTCCGATATTTGTCCCTAGTAAAGCCGATTTAAAGTCAGGCACATCCTCAGGCAGCCCGGTGCTGTTGCAGAATTTCATTGCAGTTTTACTTTAACTAATAACATCTGTACAATAAATACTCTAAATTAACATTATTTAGGTGTCTCAATTCAATTCAATTCAATTTAAAAAAAACTTTAATCATCCCCTAGGGGCAATTGACTGACGTTAACACTGAGCTTTGCATCAGTTCAAAAGCTGATTCGGCTTCAGAAATTCATCAACTGATGCTTGTAGAGACATTTTAACATGAAAATAAGGTGGAAAACGTCTAGATATCGGCCATGAAAGTCAGCAGTGCATATCAGCATCAGTGATAGAAAAACCAATACGGACCTCTTCTGCTATCTATCTACTGCAGCTAAGATATTAAGTGTTCTTAATCTTTGTCACTTTAAAACTTCCAAACCAAAAACATTAAAGCGATGAAGCTAACTACTAGTCTACTTTTTAAACCCTCTTAACTTTTGAAACAAAAACTGGCTGAGTGGGGCGAGAAGTGGACCAATGAGCAGAAGGTGTACGGTTTGATCCCAGTCCCCACAGACCATGTGTTGAAGTATCCTTGGGCAAATTACTGAACCCTGAAGTTGCCCCTGAGGCAGCCCACTGCTCCTCAAGTATGGGTGAAATGTGGAGCAATTATTTCCCCAAAGGAATTAATAAATAATAGTTCTTTTTATTATAGAAAACTCATTTACTTAAAAAAGTACTTGAAAAGTGTGTTTTTGCGTGCTATTTCTACTCCTACATCACTATAATTTTATCTAATGTGTCTACTTGCAGCACATTTAGTAAAACTTCACATTTTTCAATCAAATCTGTCCAATTACCCAGCTAAAGGTGCTTTACCACCCTATTGTTGGTGTGTTTTCTCCATGTGCCATCATGCCTCTAACTGCACATAACCAGCGTGTTTACTCAGAGGCTGGACCACTTTAGCGCGGCGGTGTGAGACCCAGAAGGTGAGCATTCTCACAGCCCATGAGCACATCCACCACTCCAGTTAACACAAACACACGGTCTTTTTGACCAACCACCCAAACATGGTGTTCGTATGTCATAAGGGCAGCTGCCAGCAACATAACTGTGCAAAACTGATAAAGGAGACCATGACAGTCCAAAGAGAACAGGAAATGTAAGATATACAGCTTCTTTCTGTCCTTTTTACAACCACCTGTCACTACTGGCTTTTTTTCCATTGGCTTTTGGCAGCTTCTGCTGTTCTGTTGGCAAAACTGACCAAGAGGAGTGCAGCTGTGTCTCATTCATTTCAATCCAGCACAAAAAGACAAAATTATAAGGAAATTAAGTTTATTTTCTATTTGTTTCTTTAAAAAAATTAAATTAGAAATTCTTTCTATAAAACCAGTGAAGGTTTAGTTAAATGTTACTAGTTTTATTGTCTCTGTTGTAAATGGGGTTCAAATAACTAAAAACTATTGGAGCTTGGAGTTATCGCGATAAATCCGAGCTTTTCCAGATGTGTACTCTGTGAACAAAGCTGCGGTGTTACAAAAGTGTTTGTAACACAACATCTGGAGACGTTTTCATGAGATAAAATGTACGATAAAGTGAAAAAATAAACAAGTAGAAGTTTACCTCAGCGTTGGAGACTGCGAGGGCCACCAGAAGCAGCGCGGGGACACTTCTCCACATCTGGAAACAAAAAGAGAAAGTGAGGTTTGGTGAGGAGGAGAAACACAAAATGAAGGAGTGCATCCGATTTCAACTTATAAAACCATTTTTTTTCTGTCCGTACCGTTGCGTAAAAGGCGGCTCGGCACAGGAGACAAGCGGGGAGCTGGTCGGGTTATTTGTCCGGGTGGAGAGGAGCTGGAGGTCCGCGGTTTGGAGAAATTTGAGGAGCGCTGAGGAATTCCTCCGTCCGTCGGTCTTCCCTCCTCCTCTCTCCTCACTGCGGCCAATGAAAACGCCTAGATTCCTCCTCAGAGGACGTTTACAGGGGATTAGAGGAGGGGGAGGTTTGTAATCCACCTCTTTCATTTAAAAACGTAATTTATTCTGCTCGGTGCAATTTTAAATCTTCAAAAACAGATAGAAGTACAGAACCTCATTAAATTAAGTCAATTTATCTGAAATATCAGATTAATGAAGAGCTGAAAAAAGTTAGATTTTGTTCAAATCTGCTCAAATGATCTTAATACTCAATCCATATAAATGCTGTGTCCATTTAAACTAATTAAAAACGTGTTTAGTTCCATTTTGATCAAAACGTGTTAAACTCCATGGCATAGCAGAACCTTCAGGTTTGTGTTATTTGTGAGATAAAACGTTAATGTTGCAAAGCAAACGGAGTAGTGGTAGAGTCGCATTGCTGTTACCCAAAATGTCCAAATATCAAAAAATACGACTACAAATCCTGCCATGAGGCTCAACTCTGATGTGGCTCACTTCTAGTTCCTGCAAATGGTGCACCAGAACTTTGTTTCCCTAGCCTAGAAATCTAGACCAACAGTAGTCGAAACTAAATTATTTTGCTCTGCATGTTGGTCTAGCCACACTTGCTTGGAACCTCCAGAGGCCAGTCTGATGGCTGGCCAATCACAGTGCTCTATCAGTTTGGTAGGTGGGATGTTTCTGCAACTGAGCAAAACTAAGATGGGGACAGCTCATTTGAAACGGCTTTGGCATCAAATTTGGGCTATTTAGACGTGGGCATATGAGTCAAGAGCAGATAGAAATACAGTATATTAATACTGTTAATACTGTTAATATTCAGCAAAAGGATGTACTTGCATCTTCTTTGACAATTGACTGACATTTGTAGCGATGAGTACGTCACAATTCCATTGCTTGGTTCTTTGTCACGTTGTTTGTTTAGAAATTTTTGAAAGACAAGCATTACGCCCAGTGACTGATAGCTGTCAATGGATCGTGACCAGGCTATACAGTATATTCACATGTGGCTTGCCAGGCAATTGTTTCCCCAGAGTATGACTCACGAAGCAATCATTCATACTATGAGACCATCTGCAAATGCTTTGATGAAACAAGTGAACTACACCTTTAAGAAAAAAATGTCATAATTCAATTTAATCTATTCAGTTTATTTATATAGCGACAAATCCCAGCAAGAGTCGTCTCAAGGCACTTCACAAAGTAAACATTCCAATACAGCTCAGTTCATTGAGTCAATCAGGAAAAAGTTTCCTATGAAAGGAACCCAGCAGATTTCATCCAGTCACTGAGGGTCAGTGTCTTTACATAAACCTCATACTAAGCAAAGTATAATGTACCCTAATGTGATCGTGCATGATTTAGAATAATTTGGGAGGTTTTGCACCAGTTTTATCAGGATTATGCATTTAAATTGACCATCATTACATGTGATTGTTATTACAAATCAGAATCAGAGTCAGAATCAGAATAGGTTTATTGCCATTGTCAGTGAACAAACAATTCACAAACTAGGAACATGCTTCGGTACTAGTGTGCTACATATAACATGAATAATAAGATTAAAAATAGAATAAAATAGAATAAAGTATAATAAAAAACTAGAATAAAACTTTCAGCTATAAAAAATGGCAGGTAATGGTAACATGGCCGATAACGTGACGTTGAGTCGAGTACAGAAGACGAGCATGGTTGTGTGTTTATAATCTATTCACAAGTCTAACGGCAGATGGAAAGAAGCTGTTCTTATGGCGGGAGGTTCTGGTCCGGATGGACCGTAACCTCCTGCCTGAGGGGAGTGGCTCAAAAAGTCTGTGACCCGGGTGCGAAGGGTCAGCTGCTATCCGACCTGCACGCCCCCGGGTTCTGGAGACGTACAGGTCCTGGAGAGATGGAAGGCTGCAGCCAATCACCTTCTCAGCAGAGCGCACAATGCGCTGCAGTCTATGTTTGTCCCTCACCGTGGCTCCAGCGTACCACACAGCGATGGAGGAGGTGAGGATGGACTCAATGATGGCCGTGTAAAACTGAACCATCATCTGGGCCGGCAGCTTGGCCTTTTTCAACTGCCGCAGAAAGTCCATCCTCTGCTGGGCCTTTTTGATCAGGGAGATGATGGATGGCTCCCACCTAAGGTAATGTGTGATGGTGGTTCCGAGGAAGCGGAAGGAGTCCACAGTGGTGACGGGGGTGTCACCACAAAGTGAAGACAAGTGAATTTGTGGTGTGAGTTTTAACCCTCTCAGGCTCAAAATAAATTTTGATAAAAGGACGAACAACTAAGTCCTTCAGGGGTACTTCTGAGTTAAAAAATGTTCATGAAATACGTTTGTGGAGTAACCAGGTTGGTTTTAACTGTTGCAAATCTGCAACGCCTGCCTCCAGAGGGTTAATTTCTGGAAAATCTTTTGATATCTGATTTTTAATGTGTTTAATGACATGAAATTTTTATCTTGTTTGACTGATGCATTACTCCATCTTATTGTCAGCTTTTGATTACAATATAAATCTGTTACATACGTAATGAGTTCTACATAGAAAACAACAAAGAACTCATTAATAAGCTTTAAGATCATAATTTTATGTGCAAATCTTTTTTTATTTTATTTTGGACTTTCCAGGGTGTTTCTCTAAAATGAGCTTTCTGTTTTCTAGGAGATCATATGCTTAATTGGGTGATGTTTGGTTTCCAAAGACCAAAAAAAAAAAAAAGATTACAATGGAGCATCATCATGTCCACATTCAAACATTCTTTCATGGTATCTTGCACTTAATCTGTATGTAATGTGCAATTTTTTGTTGCTATGGTTACTCCCTACAAAAAACAGGGCCTGCATTTGAAAGTTCATATATTCTGCAAAGGCATACCATTGTTCAGCATACGTTTGAGTAGATAGACATCGTCATTTATCTTTTCAGATGCATACAAACATGTATACGGGTCTTGGTTTGGAGGATGTTACTATGGTAACATGTCATTAATATGAACATGATAAAAATATGACCATATGCCTACACTTCATGGGAAAAAATATTTTAGAGTTACATTACCTCCTGTTAGTTGTTTTATATTTTTTAATGTATGTACCTATATTTTAAATATTTGATCATGTTTGTTACAAAATCCTACAGAAACTCTGAGCGGCACTTTCTGAAAAGTCATAGAAAGGTTATAGAAAGTCTCTTCCTGAATATTTCAGCCGTGCAAAGTCTACTCTTTCTATTGTCAAATTTAAAATAGCATATCAGACTTTGGTTTTGGTTGATTTTTAGTTGTACCTCTGATATTTTCCACTCTGTGTGTGCTTCAGCTTTAAATAGGCTGTTACATCACTTCTCTTTGAATTCTGCATCCTTCCCTTACATCCGTTGCGTGCTTAGAAACCATCTGCAAATGGCTGTTTCTCACCTCGTGCGCTGAAAGTTTCATGTTCAAAGGTTCTGAGAACTGATCTCAGCATTTCAGGATTACAAACTACCGCTGGTGCACATGCATCACCGATGAGTAATTAGAGTAATTAGGAGGGACGTCTAAGGCACTGAACACAGCAGCGCACTGAATTTTGAATATAAAGGGGAGAATACATTATTTTTTGCACTGCAAGCAATCAGTTACAATATAACCTCACCCTCTGTTGGTTAGAACCACCGACTCAAATACATGTTGTTTTTTTACACTCTGGAGCTTTTTGTATTTGTGTGAGGTAATGGTGAAAAATGAAAAGCCAGTTCTCGTTTCCTATCTAAAGTTAGTTTCATGCCTTTAGATGATAGTGTGTATTTTACTAATGATAATTATTCTGTTTTTCCCTACATTGTCTCACTCATTCCCTGATGTTTGGTTGTTTTCCTGGCCTGCAGCACTCAAAGGAAAAGAAGTTTCTTCTTTTCATATTTTCATTTTGGAGTGAATTAAAGCAGCTGTACTAATCAGAGCGGTTAAACTGCAGACATCTGCTGGCCAATAGCTTTGCAGCTAATCGTGTCTCTTTTTGATTTATAAAGATATTTTCAGTATTTCATATTTATTTGGGGGGGGGGGGGGGGGGGGGGGATTCATTGCAACGGTCATGGTGAGAAATCAAAGTAGATGCCGACTGGTTGTTAGTGAGATTTAGCATATATTTATGCTCATGTGTTAGATTTAAAAAGCTTCTGAAAATTCAGAAAATTCCACTTGAGCCAATTTGAATACTTTTATTTCATATCGTGCCCAGGCGTGGTTTGAAATCATTAACTCGGCTTCTCCCTCATGAGAAAAGCAAACACAAATAAAGGTTTAATCACAAATCACCTCTAGCTAAATAGAAAAAGGTGAGATTTTTCATAAAGACAGAAAAAGATATGTATAGATGTAATGTTGGAATAAACATAATGTTTGTAAAATGTTCAAACAGATTAGTGCTGAAAAGGGTTTCTATTATAAAGCTATGCTTACCATGAAGAGAATGAGAGAAGCCATATAAAATAATATGACCTCTCATAATAAAGTTGTCTGACTTTATTCATGAAGTACATTTAAAGTTTAATCCAGACTTAGGTTCAAAAAGATGTCAAACTACACATTAAAGTGACTTTTGCATGAATACACTTTTTGTACAAGTACACAATCTGAGAGATGGTCAGCTTGGAGACATCGTTTTTTCAGGTCTTTGATCTTCAGACATTCTTACCTGGGCGACCCAGTCAGGGGTGATGAGTCCACAGCTCATGCCCAAGCAGCACGCTACACCATGGAACACCTCTTCGGATCCACAACCACCTGGATGCTTTTTCTGTTGCATCACTGATGTTTTTGGTGGCTTTCCTCTCCTGCATCCCAGTAATTCCAAGGAGCGGGGCAGAGACCGACCTGAGATTCGCCTGCAGCCAACCTTGGTGAGTTTACAACAGGTCTTCACCCATTCCCTTCGCAGATCTCAATCATCTCCTGATATTTTGTCTTATTCACAGTTTTTCAGCCCCAAAAACTTTTTCAGTCCAAACAAAGATGATGTTCGTGGGAGCTACTGGACTTGACAGATGGACTCCTTTAGGACCTGGTTGTGATGCCACAAATACCTTCCAAGGAGTTAGAAGATATAACGACATTTATGCAGCATTTGTTAAAACTTCCTTTCACCTTTTGAATTTGAGTTGCATCATATGGTGAGATGCTGTTCTTGAACATTCCCCATGTCAGCTTAACAGTGAGGTTGCTCTGCCTGTCGTCTAAACTAGATTACATACCAATTATTTTATAACCAATCAGCCTCTCTAAATTCATTTTCCCTTTCAGAGCCTAGATGAGCTCTTGACCATTCACTGGAAATGTTGAACATGTTTTAATCTCAAAACCAAACTTTGCCCCATTTTAGAGCTGTCTTGTTTTCAGAAAGTTATATTTATAACCTTTAGCTGCTCAGCTTTGACATGTTGCCTAGTTGGGTTTTCCACCACACCAAAATGTCAGCACAAGACTGTCTTGCTGTAGAATTTCCGCCATCTGATTTGGGCAGCTGATGGGTGAAGAGATCATGTGATCGCTTCTTCCTGGTTGAGAGCATCAGCCACCATCTGCTGCAACGGATGAGCATTTAAATGCAACTGATACTCAGTACAACATATTCTAGTTCCTTTATCTCCCTAAATTATGAGCTGAACTTAAATAAACAAACTCATGAACTTACATTAATTACATTTTTGGAAAGATTTCAATAAAATGTCGAACTTCGTTACCTTAAAACCATATCATTATTGCATTAGTAGTAAATGAGGAAGCACTTAACTAAATTAAATCTTTGTATCTAAAGTCGAACAGACATATTTTGTGTTTCTGGTTAATGAGTTTGACATTTAAAAATCTCCACAAACGAGCAACACGTGAGGAAGTGGTTGTGAAAATAGCAGCACAATAATTAATGCAACAGCATCTGTGTTGTTCCATTTGTGATTCAAACTCAGTATTCAATAGAGATGTTTTTTTTCTAAATGCTTTCATGCAAATTAATGAAAAACTTTTTTTTTTTCAAAATGTTCTAAAATATTAAAACAAGCAATGCAAACATAGATTTTTGTCCCCCTTTCTGGCTCCGTTTCATTGATTGATGCAGAAGTAAATACATATTTTACCCATCAATACAGATAAGTGTGGAAAAACTGACAAATTCTAGCATTTTCACCACATTGCACACATAAACTCTTTTATCTCTTTCCTTGCAAGCAATTTCTTCACTCTGCTCGTTTTCCAAACCATTAATCTAACATCCTTGTTGCTGATTTAAATTTATGCAAGGATGATGAGGAGCAAACTGTGCAGCAGAGAACAGAGGTGTTGTGATGTGTCCCTCTGTGTTCAGCCACAGGCTTTCTAGCAGGCATCTCAAATATTCACCAACATCCATCAGTGCCTGGAAGAGTCAGAGATCTCACTGGAGCCACGCAGACTTTCAGTTCCACATGCATAAATACACAGAGCTCATTCCTGGAGTACAACAGTCAGCTTTTGAGTTAAATCTTTCTCTGAAGTACACAAATGAAGGTAGAATTTGTAAAATTAGATGTAGAATGAAAGTTTTGGAGGAAATTCCCTGGTGGTTCTGCAGAAAATTGATGCATGTTCACATACACGTGCTAAGGAAGCATGTGAGACAGAGTGTGGTAAAGTGTTGAGGCTTGAGGCTTCCTCTGTTAGAGTGGGAGGCCCTGCAGAGCCGATTAATCAGATCACACAGCGCTTCTCTGCCTGCGTAAGACACCAAATTGTACATTTCAAAGAGAGTGGAGGAGGAATAAAATGTAGAATCAAAACAGATGCTTGATGCCAGTCATTTAGGGGTTTTATATAGAATAAACAAGATAATACCAAGAAAATTCAATGTTTGTTGAGGGAAAGGCGGCGTTCTTCTGGAAAAATATGATTACAAGTGCGTCCCGACCATTTTTTTTACCAGAGATCAGATTTTTTGTTGAGCTATGGATGGATGAACAGAAGGTCCCGGCATTCATGCACAGTAATGATAAACAGACAGAAAGAAAGAACCCGAGAGTAGGAAGAGGTTTGTGTGCAAGAAGACATGTGAGTTACATCAGGCATCTGCAGAGGCTCCTTAGCACACGTACACACTCAAGGATGCACATTTGAAATGAGCTTCTCCATCTGTCAGACAAAATCAGCAATAAGGCGTTCCAACCCATCACTTACTTTCTGTCCACCATCACTCTTTAATTAGGTTTGCAGCCTTCAGCTGGAAAAAGAATGAAATATATAATAAAATGGCAGATTTGCATAAAGCAATGCTTTGCATATCTGTTGATAACTGCAGGTAGGTGGAGTGACGGTGTATTTGAGCACAGAACTAGTGTGTTTGAAAATTGTTGTTATTAACAGAGACTGCCTGACATTTAAATACCTACAAAGGTCTTTAAAATCACAGCTAAAGTTATTTGATAAGATCTGCTGTGGAACTTATAAAAAAAAGTTACCAAATCACTAAAAAAAAACACATTTTTCTAGAGTTAATGATTTAGCTGTTTTGATGCATGAAGCAGTTAGAGGTGACTACAACGGCCCCTGCTGGAAGCAGAACAGAATTATGTTTCTTATTATTTTCCTGTTATATCCTCTTATTTTAGTCTGGATTAACCTGTCTCCTTCTATCATCACCCCAGCTTTGAAAGGCCACCTGCATGAACTGCCTCTGCATTTAATGACAAAATAAAATGACCCACCACCCTGACTAACAAGCACTGGAACAAACCTGGTTGCGGGTAAAGTAGAGAAACGTGACTGAAGGCTAAAGATACAGGATTTGAAATGGCTAAGAACACTTCGCACACTACTGATATGTATTTGTGAACCTTCCTTTAGACGCGTTAAACCTGTCATCTTCCTGTTTTGTTCTTGTGCGTTTGAGTGTGTGGGCAGAAATAGAGGAAATGTGAGTCACTGCACAAGAGGTGAAGTTATAGAAGACGCACTTGGACATAAACAGATTTTTATTACAATGGTCATCATGTTTTGTTCTATTAAGCACACTTACCTGTTACAACCTGTTGTTCTATGTTTTCTGCAAAAGGGTGTTGTGTGTAAAAGCTCCATACTATCTGTGCTAATCCAACAGCAACCTTCAAAATGTCAAAAATATGAGGAAACTGTTGAAACCTTTTAAGTTCCCTTTCTGATGAATGGCCAAACACAATGCCACAATAGAGCCCAACAATAGGAAGATGGATTTAGCCTACCCTGACTGCTCAGCCAGAACATGACCCTTCGTCTTCTCCTCTATCAGTCGGCTCCCCTGACCCGTAAAACAAAATACTGTAAGTGAACGGAGCTATAAAAGTTATTTTCTGGTCTGCTTTCTCACGGGCTGTTTTTACTCTCACCATGTTAAGCCTAAGAGTCTGCAGGTGGGCGTGTCTGTAGAGCAGGAGCAACGGCCAGCTGCAGCTCATCTCCAATCATCCTCCAGGGGGTATTTAAGGAGCTGACTTTCTCAACATCCTCGCCTTCAGCGGGTATCTCAGCTGACGACTGTGCTGCCAGGGCTAGGTTGGTGGAGCATTACGCGGCTGGTATGTGGGAATCTGGTGATACTGCCTGTGACTTGAACCTGTTTTTTTCTATGGACGAGCTGCAGTCAGCTGTTCGATCTGGGGGGGATAATTGCCCTGGGAGGGATGGTCTGGGGTATCCGCTGCTTCAGCATGCAGGTGGTCTCTTCCTGGAGGAGCTTTTGTCCTTGTACAATGCTGTGTGGGAATCGGGCTGTTTGCCCACTGAGTGGAGGCACTCTGTTGTTCTTCCTTTTTTGAAGCCGGGTAGGGCCCCTGGTTCCCCGGACTCCTATAGGCCTATAGCTCTGTCGTCTGTTGTCTGTAAGATTATTGAGCGCATGGTCACCTCACGGTTGGTGTACTTCCTGGAGCGTGGTTGCTTTTTTGCTCGCTGCCAGAGTGGGTTTCGGCTGGGGCGGTCCACGATAGACGCGGTGGCGCCTCTGGATCTGGACGTTAGGTGGGCTTTGGCGAATAAGAAGGCAGTGTTGGAGGTGTTCCTTGACAACGAAAAGGCTTATGATATGCTTTGGAGAGACAGGCTTTTAATTTCTCTGTACTTGGCTGGGGTTCGTGGGAGAATGTTGCGCTGGATCAGGGGCTTTCTCCATGATAGGGCAATTCAGGTTAGGGTGGGATCTGTGTTGTTGTTTTCTGTGGGGGTGGAAAATGGGGTTCCTCAGGGGAGTGTGATTAGCCCAGTGCTTTTTAATGTCCTGGTCAATGGCTTGTTTGATTCCTTGGGCAGTGATGTGGGGAGGTTCTTGTTTACTGTTGATGGGGTGTTGTTGAAGCGGGGGCCGGAACCTCCCGTTTCTTTTCTGCAGGGTGCAGGGCGGCTTGGATTGTGTGGTGGCTTGGTTGAGGCATTGGGGCTTTAAGTTGTCCCCATCCAAGTCCAAATTTATGGTTTTTGGGTTTAAGCGGATTGTCCCGTCGGTGGGTTTGCTGTTAGGTGGGCTGCCGCTGGAGCGCGTGTCCTCTTTTAAGTACCTGGGCATGTGGCTGGATGAGCGGCTGACATGGGGTGTTCATGTTCGGAGCCTGAAGGCCAGGTATGGAAGGGTCTTGAATGTGATGCGGTGTTTGGCTGGGACGGGTTGGGGGGGGGGAGCCGGTGCACCTTGCTGATGGTATACCGGAGTGTGTTCAGGTCAGCCCTGGATTATGGGTGTTTCCTGTATGGCTCGGCTGCCCCTAATACACTGAGGTGGTTGGATGTCTTGCAGGTGGCGGCTGTGAGGGTTTGCAGTGGGGCATTTAGATCAACCCTATTTGCTGCCCTTCTGGTCGATGTGGGTGAGATGCCCTTGGAGTTTCGACGAGTCAAGCTGGGACTCAGGTACCTGTTGAGGGTCAGGGGTATGGGTGATGCTTCTCCTGCTTCGGGCCTGTTGTACCAGCATTGGGAGTTTGAAGGGCGGGTCGGTTTGGTGAGGGTGGATTTTCTGCCTGATTGCGGGACAGAGCGGCCTCCTTGGGCTTCCTAGGTTGGCCTGTCTGTTCGCGCCTGGTCTGGTCTGATGTTCCGCCCTGGCTTCTGCTTGCACAGGTAGTGGATTTTACCTTTTGGGGCATTGCCACGATGGTGGGGTGGCTGGTGCTTTTCAGGATTTTACGGGGTTGGAGTGGGACTCTCATTTGCAGCTGTATACAGACAGCTCTAAGGATCCTGATAGTGGTCGGGTGGCAGTGGGTTTGGAGGTCCCGCACCTATGCTTCAGCTTTGGTTGCCGGCTCCACGACCATTGTTCCATGTTCACGGCTGAGTTGGTGGCTATCTTATGAGCCTTGCGTTGGGTGAAGGAGCGTGCTGTTATCTGCTCTGACTCAGCTGCTGCGTTGGAGGCTCTGTCAGGGTCTGGCTCTGGCTCTAGGCCAGACCTGGTGATTTCTGCCAGGGTGATGCTGGGCTTGTGGCTGTGAAGTTTGTTTTGTCTGGGTTCCTGCCCATGTGGGGGTGGTGGGCAAAGAGAGGGTGGACTCTGTGGCTAATGCGGCACTGAGGAGTACTGTTGTGGACCTGGAGGTTGCCATGGGCTCTCCTGAGTATTGTTCAGTGATAGGCAGGGAGGCCATGAAATTGTGGCAGGCATCGTGGGATGGTGGGGTTTTGGGTAGAGGCTTTTATGGGTTACATCATTTGGTGGGTGGCTGTGGCTGTGGGTCGGTCCTTGACCTTTTGAGGTGAGACTCGGTGGTCCTCACTCGGTTGAGGTTGGGCATTGTGGTCTTTGAAGCGGGCTATTTTTTGTGGGGAAACTCATGGACGGAGGTGTGATTGTGGGGAGCCTGAGTCTGTGTGCCATGTTCTTCTGCACTGTGGACGGTATGGTCATGAGAGGGAGACCTATTTTCAGAGGTTGAGAGCTACGGGTCTGTCGGTGTTTTCTCTGCGGACCTTGCTGGGTGTGGAGGACCGGCGTAGGGTGTGGGCCCTGATGTGGTTTCTGCATGTGACAGGGGTTTATGAGAGTCTGTGACGCTCTCTGGCGGTGTGTTTGGGTGGCTGTGGCAGCAATACGCCTCTTGGGCGTCTAGCCTGCCTCCCTCACTGAAGAAGAAGAACATCCTTGCTGGATGATTACTTAACCTGGGTAGTCTGAGCCAGGTTAAAAAATTATTGTCAAGCTAAGACTAAGACTGAGACCCAGACTAAGAAATTTTATCTGAAGCAGATTTCTAAGAGACTATAGAATAATCCTTCCTCTTATCCCTTCAAGGTTTTTTTAGAACCATCTCCTCAAGCCATCTCCAAGAACCTCTGAAAGGTTTAAATAGCATCGTACAGTTCCTTTAATTGACCTGTGTTCAGATTTGTTGGTTTACCCCAATGGCTCTATAATGTTTCCTGATGCTAGTTACTCTGTGTGTGTGTGTGTGTGTGTGTGTGTGTGTGTGTGTGTGTGTGTGTGTGTGTGTGTGTGTGTGTGTGTGTGTGTGTGTGTGTGTGTGTGTGTGTGTGTGTGTGTGTGTGTGTTGGCAGCCAGGTGACATTGTATTGAGGCGGACTTTTGTAATTGAACTAATGCTTATTTTCTGCACCATTATACAAATGTCTGTGATTTCCTAATTTTTTTATAATATTCTGTCTACCAAAATATTCCTATGATGAAAATTATAGACCTCATCTTTTTAAGTGGCAGAGGTGGAAAGAGTACTAAAATGTTGTACTTAAGTACAAGTATAATTACTTTCATGAAATTTTACTCAATTACAAGTAAAATTACCTGCCTCAAAATGTACTCAAGTAAAAGTAAAAAGTAGCTTATTTCAAATGTAGTCAGAGTAAAAGTTACTTAGTTACTTTTTTGACTGTGCAAGGACGGGCTCTTCTGAATAGTTAAAAAAAGACAATGGGGTATAAATGTCAAAGTGGCCGTTTTTTTAATTAAATGAACAAATATGCATATTGAAGTACAAAGGCAGTTACACTGCAAACTAGTAACATAAATTAGGTTATAGTCACAGGCCCATGACTTTTCCCTGAATGCTTATTTAGAGCAGCTGATTTTTAAAGTTAGCAGAGTTCATCTTTGGTAGTGGGTTCACTCACTCATTTAAAGATATCGGCCAGAGGCAAAATTTGTTGGAACAGCATGTGTAAATGTGTATTAAAATCTCAGATGAAAAAGGTTTTTGGATTTTGACGGCTGGAATTGTAAGAAAATCTGATGTTTGTGACTGGCGCAGGAAAAACAGAAACTAACTTCCAGTCTAAGCCCTGGGCAGCAGTTGACATTTCACATGGAGATCTGCTGAAACAGCTGTAGTAAACAACGCCTGGCTCCGCTGTTTCTGCGTTAGCGTTATAGCAGAGAACAATGTGTCATTAATCAGATGTAGCTTCTGAAGCCTCCACTAGTCCATCAGATTTGTTTTTTCTCTGGGATACGGCGACGAGAACGGATGTTAGATTACTGGAGAAGTTCAACCGAACTTCGATCCCGCCAGCTGGATATCACTACCAGAGGTGCAGAACGTTTGACTCAGAAGACCTGTGACCTGATTTGGACATAGAGGAGGATTCTGTTCATCTTCAGAACCAAAATCGGTACAGTTTGTTTACTTTTCTTAAATATTTCATTTCTGTGCTCCACTGGAAGCTCTAAGCTGGCAAGTTTTCAGCTGGTCTTAGCTCCGTCATGTGTCCCAATATAGTTCAGTAATCTACAATTTTACTGCTGTGTGTATTTATTGACATAACTCTGGAAAATAATGAACCTACAATTTACCAGAATAAATCTTCCTGATGCTGGAGTAACTCCTTAGCTCAACTCGTTGTTTGCACTAATCCAGTATGTCATGGAGGTTCTAATGTTGAAATATAGAGATCATCTTTTAGATTATATCTCTCTGTGTGTGTAAGTGTGTGTGTGTGTGTGTGTGTGTGTGTGTGTGTGCGTGCGTGCGTGCGTGCGTGCGTGCGTGCGTGTGTGTGTGTGTGTGTGTGTCGTAGCTTTCCCAAAGGACTTGTTCTTTCCTTACCGGAGCGAACATGGTTAGTTTTGCTGCAGTCATGCTAACGGGACTCGTCTGGAGTCCAGAAGTAGTGGTGCGGTTCTAGATGGATTTATAGATGTAGGTTATTATTTTAGATCAGACCTGTTATTTAAAAATGCGTGTAGGACACAGGCACATGGCTCAGACCTTTTGCTGCAGCTGTAAACGCAATTTTACATAATAATTAGGAGCATGAAAGTAAACAAATAACAGTGATTCACAATATTAGCATCAGCAGCTAGCTTGTTTTTTGTGCTGGAGTGACGTATGCGAAACATAGTTCTTCACTGTCTGGAGGAGAGGATTTGGATTTTCTGTAATCATTTATGACAAAAGTCCTTAATAAAATAAAAAACTGGACCCAGTACATGTTTATATAGATAATAAAGTGTAGTTATTTTGCATTTCTACAATTTTAAGGGAGGCCTGGGGATGGACTGTCCGATCTCGGGGGCAGAAGTTGCTGAGGTAGTCAAACAACTACACAGCGGCGGAGCCCCGGGGGCGGATGAGGTTCGTCCTGGGTATCTTAAGGCTATGGATGTTGTAGGGCTGTCATGGTTGACACGTCTCTACAACATTGCGTGGTCATCGGGGGCAGTTCCTAGGGAGTGGCAGACCGGGGTGGTGGTCCCCATCTTTAAGAAGGGTGACCTGAGGGTGTGTTCCAACTATAGGGGGATCACACTCCTCAGCCTCCCTGGAAAGGTCTACTCCAAGGTACTGGAGAGGAGGGTCCGATCGATAGTTGAATCTCAGATAGAGGAGGAGCAATGTGGTTTTCGTCCTGGCCGTGGAACTGTGGACCAGCTCTATACCCTTGCAAGGGTGATGGAGGGGGCATGGGAGTTTGCCCAACCAATCCACATGTGCTTTGTGGATTTGGAGAAGGCTTATGACCGTGTCCCCAGGGGCACCCTGTGGGGGACGCTCCAGGAGTATGGGGTGGGTGGCTTTCTGTTAAGGGCCATTCAGTCCCTTTACCAGAGGAGCGTGAGTTTGGTCCGCATAGCCGGTAGTAAGTCGGACCTGTTCCCAGTGAGGGTTGGACTCCGCCAGGGCTGCCCTTTGTCACCGGTTCTGTTCATCACTTTTATGGACAGAATTTCTAGACGCAGCCGTGGTGTGGAGTGTGTCGAGTTTGGTGGCATTAGAATCTCGTCTCTGCTTTTTGCGGATGATGTGGTCCTCCTAGCTTCATCCAGCTCTGACCTTCAGCTCTTGCTGGGTAGGTTCGCGGCCGAATGTGAAGCGGCTGGGATGAGGATCAGCACCTCCAAATCTGAGACCATGGTTCTCGACCGGAAAAGGGTGGCTTGCCACCTCCGGGTCGGGGGAGAGGTCCTACCTCAAGTGGAGGAGTTTAAGTATCTCGGGGTCTTGTTCACGAGTGAGGGTAGGAGGGATCGGGAGATCGACAGGCGGATTGGTTCGGCGTCTGCAGTGTTGCGGACGCTGAGCCGATCTGTCGTGGGGAAGAGGGAGCTGAGCCAGAAAGCCAGGCTCTCGATTTACCGGTCGATCTACGTCCCAATCCTCACCTATGGTCATGAGCTTTGGGTAATGACCGAAAGAACGAGATCGCGGATACAAGCGGCCGAAATGAGTTTCCTCCGTAGGGTGGCCGGGCTCAGCCTTAGAGATAGGGTGAGGAGCTCGGACCTTCGGGAGGGACTCGGAGTAGAACCGCTGCTCCTCCGGATCGAAAGGAGCCAGTTGAGGTGGTTTGGGCATCTGGTCAGGATGCCTCCTGGACGCCTCCCCGGGGAGGTGTTTCGGGCATGTCCTGCCGGCAGAAGGCCCCCGGGTCGACCCAGGACACGTTGGAGAGGTTACATCTCCAATCTGGTCCGGGAACGCCTTGGGGTCCTGCCGGAGGAGCTGGTGGACAAGGCCGGGGAGAGGACGGCCTGGAGCTCCCTAGTTGGGATGCTGCCCCCGCGACCCAGACCCGGATAAGCGGAGGAAGACGACGACGACGACGACGAGATGACGACAACAATTTTAATGCCGAGCCAATACCTTTAACCCTTCACCACTGAAATCAGTTTGTTCATTCCAGTCCTCCTAAATAATCCTCCAATCATCCAACTGGAATCCTTAAGGGTCCCGTAACGTCCATCCTGTCAGAACAGACCGTGGGAGCCCAGGTGTTACTAGAACTAATGGTGTCTCCTCACCAGCGTGAGCCTCCAAACTGTGAAGGTTGGTCTCCAAACATGAACTTCAAATTCATGCATTTATCTCCTCTTGTAACACTTTAACATGTTTTAAAAGGCTTGTATCATGATATGTTACACCTCCCAGACCAAAAATAGGTCCAATATAAGATAAAACATTATCATAAACACTGCAGAGACATCATTGTTTATTAAATACAAGTTATTTTCCTGAGCCATTACTTCAGCCAAGATATTGGATGCATGGATTTGATGAAGCCATGCTGTCTTATGCAGTCCTACACACACACACACACACACACACACACACACACACACACACACACACACTGCAGCATGTTAGAATCATTTGAATGACTAATTGAACTACACTGAACTGCTTTAGTAATAATTTAATCTCTTATTCTGGAGTAAAATAAAGAAACAAGCTAAATCATCACATATCTGTGGCATCAATATGCATCTTCTGAGTTCAAACACAGGGATGGAGCACAATGTTTACACCTGAACAGTATCAGGATTAACTCACAGAGGCCTGCATGTCTTCTGTTTTATGAGCAGAGCGCTGAGAATACGCTTCTTGTAATGGCTAGGTCACATATGGCCTTTTAAAAACTGCTACGCGTTTTGGTGAATGTAGCCTTCGTCAGGGAGTCAAACTCAACAATAAGGAGAAGTTCTTAACCAATTGGTTAATTATTGGTGCCATTATTATTATTGTTGTTTATTTTACGCACAATTTTTCAGTAAGGATTATAAGTGCAGGAGGTTTATTGCTTAGTTATTTTTGCTAAATGCATATTTCAACAATGACATTTTGCCCCTAACCAGCACATAACAGCTTCATCATCATCATCATCATCATCAAGCTTTATTTACAAAGAACATTTTAAACGGTGACAACACCAACCAAAGTGCTGTACACGACAATATGTCACCAAACTAGATACAGCAACATAAAATAGATAAAACAAATAAAAACTATAATAACAAAAACACAGGAAAGCACCCGGGTTAAACAGTCTCAGCCGGGAAGGCCAGGGACTAAAAATAAGTCTTCAAACGTACTTTAAAAGTGGGAAGGGAGGGGGCAAGTCGGACCGTCAGGGGGAGTTGGTTCCAAAGTTTAGGCGCACAAACTGAAAAAGCCTGTTCGCCACGGGCCATATAGCGGGCAGGAGGGACAAGCAGAAGGGGCTGGTCAGAGGACCTCAGGGTTCACGCCAGAACATAGGGACTCAAAAGATGTGCCAAATAAGAGGGGGCCATTTCATGAATAGATTTGTAAACCAACAGAAGAAATTTGAACTTAATACGAAACCGAACTGGAAGCCAGTGTAAATTTGCCAAAACAGGGGTGATATGCTGCCGTCGGTCTATGCCCGTAAGAAACCTTGCGGCAGCATTCTGAACCAATTGGAGGCGTACCACTGAAGAGGAGGGAATACCATAGAAGAGAGAGTTGGCATAGTCCAGACATGACGTTACAAAAGCATGAACAGCTGACTGAAGATCTGTTTTGTTCAGGAAAGATTTTAGTTTGGCCAGCCGGCGAAGATGAAAGAAACACGACTTGACTACCTGATTTATCTGTGCATCCATTTTAAAAAAAGCGTCCAGAGTGACCCCCAAATTTGTAATTGTTGGCTTCACCAAAACTGACAATGATGGGGGCAGAGATGGCACCAAAGCAGAGGGGGAGCAGGGGGCAAAGAGAATACCGTAGCCTCCAGTTTGGAGCTGATAAGATAGAAAAAATTAGCCGAGAGCCAGGACCTGACTTCACTCAGGCAGTCAGTGGTTGCACAGGGTCAGCAGATTTTAGGGCCAGATAAAACTGACAATCGTCAGCGTACAGATGAAAATTTCACGGAAATTTTCTAAAAATGGCTGCCAAAGGTACAATATATAGATTAAAAAGAAGTGGACCTAAAACGGACCCCTGGGGAACCCCACAAAAAAGAGGTGCCACTCTAGAGGTGCAATTCCCCAGGGCAACATTAAAACATCTGCCATTGAAATAGGAGCGGAACCACTCTAAAGCTGTTCCACGAATGCCAATTAACTGCTCCAGTCGCTGTAATAGGATTGCGTGGTCGACAATGTCAAAGGCGGCAGATAAGTCTAAAAGCACCAACAACACATGAGAACCAGAATCAGAGGCAAGCAACATATCGTTAAAAACATTAATAAGAGCAGTCTCAGTGCTGTGGAGAGGGCTTCATCAAACAAAGTTCACACAACATGAGTCAAACACTCAAACAGCAACTAACCACTTCCTGTTCACAGCAAGTTCTCTGCAGAAGCCTTCAGACGCTCCAGTCAGTCTCTCTGTGTTTGATGGTCACCATGTTCAGCCAAAAGCAACAGGTGTTGATTTTCATCCAGCTGGTAAACATGTGGAGTGTCTTTGCAGGTAAAGAGCAGATTTGTGTTTGACGTGTGCTTCTGTCCAGATTTAAACTGAGATTATATTTAATAATGAATTATTTCCTTAAATTTCAGCTGATATGAAAACTGAGCACAGAGATGTGCAGGTGTCCAGAGGAGAGACCATCATGTTTACTTGCAACGTTTCTACAATAAATTTAACACTGATCCGCTGGACCAATGTCAGATCTACATTTACTTATTCAGTCTCATCTAATCGCACCTTTTCAAATTTCTCCTCCAGCAGAGTGACGATAGACACTAACATACCTACTAGTCTAAATATCAGTAACATTCAGCATGATGATGCAGGGGTTTATAGGTGTACTATAACTAGTAACGGCCTAAACAGCATGACATGGAACTTAACAATAACCAGGACCCAAACAGGTACGTAGAGCTAAAAGCTTGAATGATCTCTCCTACAACAGGGTTGTTCAAACTGAGCAGCACGATGTTAATTATCACTGTTTTACTTTCAGAATCCAGTTTGTCAACATATTCAGTCCTAGATTATAAATTACATGTTCTAGCTGCTCTTGGATTCCTGTTGTGTTTCATCTCTGCAGCTGTCTGCCTCTGCAGGTGAGTCCCAACCTTTCACCTTTGGATCTTTTTAGACTAAACATTTGAAGTTTTTCTGTATTAGTGCAGAGCTGCTGTTAGCATTGAGACTGTTGGTAATACAATAAGGTTCAGTCACTTTACAGCCAAATATTTTAACTGACCTTTTTAATCCTCTTGATATGCTTGATATAAGTTTAACTAGTGGTTTGTTCAGAATGATTCATAATATTTAGGTGCTTTTTTTTTGTTTTTACTTGACTAACAACAACAGTTAAAACTTTCAAACATCATGTTGACGTTACTTGTATGAAGTTACTTACATGAAATCAAGCCAGGGTAACAGAGCCGTAGTGTGTGACACAGAAGCATACATTTGTACAAACAAAAGCAGATTTTCATGTGAATTCCAACACAAAAAGACAGATTCAGCTAATATTTCACTGATTTCTTTCGACAGAAATAATGAAAAAAACTATGAGCAAATTTTAACAAATTAAACAGTTTTCATGGTTTCTTCTTTCTTTTTGTGTGATTTTTAATAAACTAAATTTCAAGGAACATATAATGCAAGTGGCTGAGACATTTACCTCATTCATGACAATGATCACTCCCTTTTTGGGGGGCTTTTCTAGGTTTTGGGGCAAACAAGGGGATATTTGTAGCTCTCTAACACAAATTAGCAGAAACGTGTATAGGGTGACACTATGTAATGTCAGCTGAATTAAAAATAATGATGTTATGAGCTGTAAAAGTGTCTGGATTCAGAGCTGCATGTTGGTGCAGTTAGTAACATAGTTGTCTTGCAGCAAAAAGACGGCCGAAGTTATGCAATGGAGTGAGAGAGTCTCTGGGTTTTCTGCTGCAAAACGTTCAAATTTTTTGAGTTTCTTCAATGTTAAAACCGTTAAACATCACATAAGTTTATTTAGTTTTATTAAACCCAAAAGTAAAATTAATCATTGTTTCATTTTAGCAGGAAATGCAGGACCAGAGCATCAAATAATTATCCAGTTCAGGATCCATCCCAGTCTGAAGGAGAGGTCAGATGATTTTATTGTTATCATCTTTTTTCTTGTCTGGCTTACTTCTGGTCACATTTAACCTTGTTTTTAAAGATCTGCAGTCATCTTCATCTTTCTGCAGCTCTTTCTCTTTGTTTCTGAACATTTGGCTCTTTAGATACAGAAGAAACAATCTTTTATATGGCACCTCTCAAGAAAAAAATCACAAGGCTCTTCACAACAACAAGAATTAAAAATAAAAAAGATTTTAAAATATCATAAAGATGGGAAAAGACGAGGCATGTCCAAAGTGTGCCCATAGGAGTGATTTTGTGCAGCACTTTTCTTCTTTTATTTTCTTATTTTTAACTCAGATTTGTAATCATCTTTCGTTTGTTTTATGTTATTTTATAATTTTATGACTTAATTTTTCTGATTTTAATTTTGTTGTGTTTTAAAATCATTATGATTTTATGACTTTATGATTTGTTTTGTTTTGTTTTGATCTATGTGAAGCATAAAATTTACTTTCTATGATGAAATTTGTCTGCCCAACAGGCTTTTGCTGTAGACTGACACTTTTTAACATTTTATATTCCAATTTTCACTAATATTTCTATTTCTGATCCATTTTGAGAAGAACAAATACATTAAATCACCATAAAGTAAAACGATTAACTAAATTTGGCAGCTCACCAGAACTACTAACATGACGATTTTGGACCACACCTTGAAAAATGTGGACACCCCAGCTCTAGACCATCAATGTAAGAATTACGTTGTGGAGTCAGACCTTCTTCAAATGCTGCCACTCAGTTAAAAAAAACAAGTAACCACGTATCTCTCCACTTCTGCATCTTTATCTGCTTGTACTCTTCTTTGCATCCCCATCTGTGGTTAAATTCACTTGTTTGCCGATGAAATAAACAAACTGATAACTAGTTCCCTGCTCTCTGTCACTGCAGTTGGGTCCACAAAACATCTTTATTATGACGAATGCCCCCACGGAGCCACGAGGCAGCGTGGATGAAGGGAGGAACAAGAAGGAGAGGAGAGAGCACATGGAGAGACTTAATTCACTTTATGGTCACATCTGACCTGAGAGGACTGGAGAGACTTTTGGATTAAATGGAGACGGGTGATTTGCTGTGGCGGCCCCTGAAGGGAAACGCTGAACGAGAAAGTAGAAGACTTTAAAAGACACACCAAAATGGCATTAATGTTTTCATGGTAAAAATAAAAATATGTTTAATTACTCAAGTGTTTTTAATCTTGATGTTCTGTCTGTTTTACTCAGATCATCTTTGACCATTTTATGACAACTGATTCAGCAGGTTTTACATGCAGATCAAACTCTTTTCCCTGAATGATTCCAGTAGAGGGCGCGTTTGGCTAATGTTTGAATTCAGGTTTTTTTTTTTCTTCATCAGGAGTTTTGCAACTGGGGTCAATGGGAGCTAAAGGGTTAGTGAAGTTTCTAGAGTCTTGCATCAGACAGCGGTAAGGGGAGGATAGTTTAAAGACCACAGGACCCCAGAATAGACAGGCAGAGTCAGACTTAGTGATTTCATTTATCTCAAAGACGAAAAACAATATATTTTTGTTCATTCCTGAAATGCAATCAACAATAATAATAATTACAGTTTTTCTCAATAGTTTACATACATTTTCTGGTACTTGAGACACAATGACCTGCACTCAAATTGCAAATCTAAAACACATTTTTTTTTCAAAACACTACTCACAATTCTCTGCTGTTGGCACAATTTTCATGCAGAAAATATCTTGTTTTCACAAGGAACACACCGCTATTCAAATATGCACACTGACTCATCACAAGGGCAAACACCCGTCACAGAGTTTTACAATCAGCAATCAGAGCTTTGGCATAAACGGGCAACAGGTGAGCTCTTCTGTTTTGGAGCAATGGATGCCAACATTGGAAACAGAGGCAGAGCCAGAGGAGTGAGAGTAAGAGGATGACGACAGGGAGGACGGGGAGGACGAGGACGAGGAAGACCAAGGACCGTAATCTCTGATGAGATCCAAGCCACTTTGGTTGCTCATGTGGTCAACAATGAGGGAGGCTGGGCAAAGAGTACAGCCAAATTTGAGCTGGTACACTGTAGCATCCATCATCCGGACCTTCCGAAATGAGAATAGGTAAATAATCTTCTCTCACTGGAAAATGGCAGTACTGCATATCAATACAATCAGTATTCAATGAGTATAGTAGCAGTATTGCCTGTGAACTGTTTTGTTGGACAGTAAAAATAATGTAAAGTATGTTTCCAGTATTTCGGAAATGCCTACTTTGTGTTCACATTATTTTACTATTTGTTTGGCAGAACTGAAAGATTACCAACACGAGGAGGTCGGAAACGTCTTCTGTCTCCTGAGCAGGAAACTAAAATCATGAACATGGTTCTAAAAAAAAAGTCATATTATTACGGCAAACATAAAGAAAAATAATAGAAAACAATGACATGTTTCAAAATATTGATAGAGTCAGCTTGTCAACACTGGACCGCGTCTTGCGCAGATATCATCTCAGGATGAAGCTGGTCTATGTGTGAGTCCCACAACTGATGCATACACTCAACACTGTGTACAGTAAATTATACATATTTCAATATTGCAGTCATAATGATTGTGCTTCACAATAGTGACCACTCCATGTATTTGTGTGTTCAGAGTGTAAAAACAATATTCTGAAATATTTTACGACACATGTATGTACATGATGGTGCGGCTCCCATCTACCTGAATCCTCTTGCAAAGGCTTACGTCTCGGCCCGGCCGCTCCGGTCATCACAGGATCGTCGGCTAGCAGTGCCTACACCACGCTCAGGACAATCCAGACTCATCTCATGCATCGTTCCACAAATGTGGAATGACCTTCCAAGCACTACCAGAACAGGGGCTTCCTTTTCAATCTTCAAGAAACTCCTGAAGACCCTGCTCTTCAGAGAGCATCTTCTTAACTAGCACCCTCCCTGCACCCGTCCCCCCTCTCTACTGTCCACTCCTTGTTCCCTCCTCTCCATGATTGATGTCAAGTTGTTGTTGTTATTGTTGATGTTAGCCTCAAGGGCAATATGCCGATTATCACTTGTAAGTCGCTTTGGACAAAAGTGTCTGCTAAATACATAAACATAAACATATACTTAAACATAAACATGTACATACTGTCTGTAGTAAGTGTAACACTGAACCAAAAAGACTCAAGTCATTAATATATGATGAATGGAGAAGAAGTGTTTTCCATTCATCATAGTGTTTTACATTGAGCACATGAGTGTTCGGCTGGTTCTGATAAATGTCTATTCATATGATGGTCTGTGTGTGTCATTTGACAACATAATCACACTGTGAGGAGAAACAACATTGTTTTGAATGTGAAGCTTCATTTTGCAGGTTAATTGAGGGGTTTTGCCCATTGTGTGTGTGTTTTTGGATTTATGGGTAGAGTTCTGAGAACATGAGGCATGCTCTCAGAAAATGTGTGTAAACAATTGAGAAAAACTGTAATAAATATTTTGTATTTGCTCCTCTATCATAAAGTGAAGAAGAATTTTATTTTAAAGGAGACCACTGAGTCCACTGATCTCAGGGGAAGAGCATTTGAGTCTGGGGGCCACAGCAGCAAATGATCTGTCACTTTTGGTCTTTCGTTTTGTAAAGTGAGTTTGAGCCAACACAGAAGTAAAGGTGTGTGTTTTTGTGGACATGTTTATAAATATATGTGTGAGACAGATTCTGCAGAAACAAGACCAGGCTTGACTTCGCCGAAATGTAGCATATTTAACACCTACAGTCCCCCACAGGAAGTGTGTGTGTGTGTGTGTGTGTGTGTGTGTGTGTGTGTGTGTGTGTGTGTGTGCGTGTGTGTGTGTGTGTGTGTGTGTGTGTGTAAAACCATTCCTGACAAGACAACAACTGAAAATAGAAGCCCATGCTATTATTACAAGACTGACTGCTGTAATTCCCTCCTATTTGGAGTGACCAGGGCAACTTTGGCAAGGCTGCAACTAGTGCAAGATGCAGCTGCAAATCTTTTGGTGGGGAAAAAAAAATTTGAGCATGTCTCCCCCGTCTAGGAATCCTCGCACTGGCTGCCTGTGGATTTCTTTTATTTATTTATTTATTTTCATGTTTTATTTTCATTTATTGACATTAAAATAATAATACAGAACTAAATTGCTACAAGCCAAAATGAAAAAGGGGACAGAAAAAAGAAAAACTTATGTTATCTGCCCCTTTTAACTAAAATAACATTAATACACAGTAAGAAGCATAACGTTATAGACCTATATACATACCTATATACACATATGCATACATAGACTTGTTTCCTTTTCCCTTATTCATTTTTTTCTTTTGTTCATCCCCCCAACCCCCTCCCCTCACACATTTATGTAACAGATCTACATAAGTTAATCATTTCTTTTTTTATCTCTTTTTTTAAAGTAAATATTGTTTTTGCATTCTTGAGTTCAGTACTCAATTTATTCCACAATTTAACTCCATATATGGACACACAACGTTCCTTTATGAGTATCCTATGTCTAGGTATATGAAATAATTCATATCGTTTTAAATCATATTTACTATGTCTTTTTGTAAATCTTTTGATTAAACCTGCAGGTGCGTTCCCTTTGTTTGCAATTTACATAAATTTTGAAATATTGTAGTCCACGAGATCATAGAATTTTAGTGTTTTTAATTGTATAAATAATGGGTTGGATGGATCTCTGTAGTTGCTCCTTGTGATTATTCTTATTGCTTTTTCCTGTAAGATGTAAATGGAATTTGTGTAAGTTTTATATGTTGTTCCTCAGATTTCAATGCAGCAGTTCAGGTACGGTATGATCAGTGAGTTTTATAACAAATATAGTGAATTATTATAAAGTAACCATTTTGCTCTATGTAACAGTGCAATAGTTTCAGATATTTTAGTTCTGACACTGTTTATATGCGGTTTCCAAGACATTTTTTCATCAATGATGACTCCCAGATACTTGACTTCTTTAACTCTTTTAATATTAATCTCATCTATATTTAATAAAATTTCATCCTTTGAATATGTATTACTAAATATCATAAAACATGATTTATCACTGTTTAATGATAGTTTGTTCCCATCAAACCATAGTTTAAGTTTTTTCATCTCTGTTTGTATCACTTCTATCATCTGCTCAACATTATCTCCTGAATAGTAAAAAGTTGTATCACCTGCAAATAAGGTGCATTTTAATATATTGGATACCTCAACAATATAATTTATATAAATAATAAATAATTTTGGACCCAATACTGACCCTTGTTGTACACCACAAGTAATGTTATTTATATGTGATTTTGTGTTGTTTATTTCTGGACCTTTTACCAATCAAAGCAGGTGATGTGAAAGTCTCACAGCTTGCTGCAACTCTTTTCTGCAAATTATGAAAGTAGAAAGCAAGGATCCCATCCATAGCTGGTATCTAAATCCAATTGTTTCCAATATTCTCACGTGAGCCTTTTCTACAAAGCTCTACGTAACTATTATTCTCAGCATGTCTTCTTCCTTTTTCTGTAGTATCTTTGTGTCTTTAACAAATCCTTTAATAAACTCTTAAACTTTATCTGTGTGTGGCTGTTTGGATCTGGCTAATCGTCACCAGGTCTGACCGTGACAGTTACGTGGTGTTGTGGATTCAGCCTCCTCGCCTGCTACCACTTGTTAAAACAAGCTGCTTTTAAAAAAACCACCAAAAACACACTTCTGTCTCCATGATCAACTTCCTTAGTCATCAGAACAGGACCTCTGTCCCTTGGCTTGTTTCAGCTTCCTTGTCTCTCTACTTTCTTGCCTCTGAAATGTGTGTTGGGACTGTGCATGTGTGATGCATTCAGGATCTCAAAACATGACTTTTTTATTTTATTTTGCACAGACCAGCAAATTAAAATGAGTGAAAGTAATTTAAATTTCCAGCTAAATTCCTGAAGCATTTTTCAGCCAAAGAGCCTCAGATTACCAAAACAAGATTAGTGAAAAGAGAAATGCAGTGGTACAGACAAAGCAAATGTTGGTTCAAATCATCTGACAGTTTTAAAGGTTTAAATGGCACAAACTGATCAGGAAGGTGGTTTTAGTCCTATGCCTTTATTCAGATTCCGTTAGCCGTCTGACGCGAACCATAATGGTTGAAAACATCTTCTTACCACTTCCTGTTGTCAGCAACTCCTCTGCAGAAGCTTTCAGAGCTGGTAGTAATGCTTTAGCCAGTCTCTCATTGTCGGATGGTCACCATGTTCAGCCCAAAGAGAGACCTGCTTATCTTAAATCTGCAATTTTCTGGTGAAAATATGGAGCATATTTGCAGCTAAAGAGCAGATTTGTGTTTGTGATGAGCACTTACATCCAGATTTAAATGGAGATTATATTTAATTAGGATTTATGTTCTTAATTTTCAGCTTATCTGAAAACTGAGCACAGAAATGTGCCGGTGTCCAGAGGACAGACCATCATGTTTACTTGCAACATTTCTACAGTAAATTCAACAATGATCCACTGGACCAATGTCAGATCTACATTTATTTATTCAGTCTCAACTAATCGCACCGTTTCAAATTTATCCTCCACCAGAGTGACAATAGACACTAACATACCTACTAGTATAAGTATCAGTAACATTCAGCATGATGATGCAGGGGTTTATACGTGTACTATAACTGGTAACGGCCAAAGTTTAGGCGCACAAACTGAAAAAGCCCGTTCGCCACGGGTCATATAGCGGGCAGGAGGGACAAGCAGAAGGTGCTGGTCAGAGGACCTCAGGGTTCGCGCCGGAACATAGGGACTCAAAAGATGTGCCAAATAAGCAGGGGGCCATTTCATGAATCGATTTGTAAACTAACAGAAGAAATTTGAACTTAATACGAAACCAAACTGGAAGCCAGTGTAAATTTGCCAAAATAGGGGTGATATGCTGCCATCGGTCTATGCCCGTAAGAAATCTTGCGGCGGTATTTTGAACCAATTGGAGGCATACCACTGAAGAGGAGGGAATACCATAGAAGAGAGAGTTGGCATAGTCCAGACATGACGTTACAAAAGCACGAACAACTGACTGAAGATCTGTTTTGTTCAGGAAAGATTTTAGTTTGGCCAGCCGGCGAAGATGAAAGAAACACGACTTGACTACCTGATTTATCTGTGCATCCATTTAAAAAAAAAAAGCGTCCAGAGTGACCCCCAAATTTGTAATTGTTGGCTTCACCAAAACTGACAATGACAGGGGCAGAGATGGCACCACAACAGAGGGGGAGAAGGGGGCAAAGAGAATAGCCTCCAGTTTGGAGCGGTTAAGATAGAGAAAATTAGCCGAGAGCCAGGACCTGACTTCACTCAGGCAGTCAGTCAGTGGTTGCACAGGGTCAGCAGATTTTAGGGCCAGATAAAGCTGACAATCGTCAGCGTACAGATGAAAATTTACCAGGAATTTTCTAAAAATGGCTGCCAAAGGTAAAATATATAGATTTAAAAAGAAGTGGATCTAAAATGGACCCCTGGGGAACCCCACAAAAAAGAGGTTCCACTCTAGAGGCGCAATTCCCCAGGGCAACATTAAAACAACTGCCATTGAAATAGGAGCGGAACCACTCTAAAACTGTTCCACAAATGCCAATTAACTGCTCCAGTCGCTGTAATAGGATTGCGTGGTCGACAGTGTCAAAGGCGGCAGATAAGTCTAAAAGCACCAACAACACATGAGAACCAGAATCAGAGGCAAGCAACATATCGTTAAAAACATTAATAAGAGCAGTCTCAGTGGTGTGGAGAGTGCTTCATCAAACAAAGTTCACACAACATGAGTCAAACACTCAAACAGCAACTAACCACTTCCTGTTCACAGCAAGTTCTCTGCAGAAGCCTTCAGACGCTCCAGTCAGTCTCTCTGTGTTTGATGGTCACCATGTTCAGCCAAAAGCAACAGGTGTTGATTTTCATCCAGCTGGTAAACATGTGGAGTGTCTTTGCAGGTAAAGAGCAGATTTGTGTTTGACGTGTGCTTCTGTCCAGATTTAAACTGAGATTACATTTAATAATGAATTATTTCCTTAAATTTCAGCTGATATGAAAACTGAGCACAGAGATGTGCAGGTGTCCAGAGGAGAGACCATCATGTTTACTTGCAACGTTTCTACAATAAATTCAACACTGATCCACTGGACCAATGTCAGATCTACATTTGTTTATTCAGTCTCTTCTAATCGCACCTTTTCAAATTTCTCCTCCAGCAGAGTGACGATAGACACTAACATACCTACTAGTCTAAATATCAGTAACATTCAGCATGATGATGCAGGGGTTTATAGGTGTACTATAACTAGTAACAGCCTAAACAGCATGACATGGAACTTAACAATAACCAGGACCCAAACAGGTACCTAGAGCTAAAAGCCTGAATGATCTCTTCTACAACAGGGTTGTTCAAACTGAGCAGCACGATGTTAATTATCACTGTTTTACTTTCAGAATCCAGTTTGCCAACATTTCCAGTCCTAGATTATAAATTATACGTTCTAGCTGCTCTTGGATTCCTGTTGTGTTTCGTCTCTGCAGCTGTCTGCCTCTGCAGGTGAGTCCCAACCTTTCACCTTTGGATATTCAAGAACTTGAATTTTACTTTTTTCTTTGTTGGTGCAGAATCTGCTGTTAATACTGACGTGCTGGATTTTAAACTCAGTCAGAATCGATAGTTTCTGATGAGCTACCTCGCAGTATGCATGCTAGTGTCATGTTATAGGTGTGAGTGGTTCAGTGGGACACAAAGGACTTTAAATAGGACAGATTTTTGTGATCTAGTTTCATGCAGGGGCTACACGGTGGCACAGTAGTTAGCACTATTGCCTTGCAGCAAGGTTTAAAAACCGGCCTGGGGTCATTCTGCAAAGAGTTTGCATGTTCTCCCTGTGCATGCATGAGTTCTCATCGGGTACTCCGCCTTCCTCCCACAGTCCAAAACCATGACTGACGGGTTGATTGGTCTCTTGTGTGTGTGTGTGTGTGTGTGTGTGTGTGTGTGTGTGTGTGTGTGTGTGTGTGTGTGTGTGTGTGTGTGTGTGTGTGTGTGTGTGTGTGTGTGTGTGTGTGTGTGTGTGTGTATGTGTGTGTGTGTGTGTGTGTGTGTGTGTGTGTGTGTGTGTGTGTGTGTGTGTGTGAATACACAGGAACAGAGGGAAACCGACATGGAAGCTAATTTGACATTCCACTCAGTCTTTGTTGGTGACCTCACTTGCAAAAAGTGCAGGGTGAGAACACACACTGCACCCACCTGCCCATCCATCCATCCACCTGGTACAGAGCATTATTATGTGTTTTTTAATCTGTAAATCAGAGCCTAAACTAAAAATGTCACAGCATACTCCACTTCCTGATGTTTAAAGTCACTGATTCCTTTAAAACGTGGCTCTAAAACCCCATTCTGGATTGTGTTCCTACAGTAATATAGTCCCACGCTGTTGGTGAAGCTCCGTGCAGAAAAGAGTACATTTTAGAAAATGTAGCAAGAAAACAATCCGGAGAACTACAGCATCCCAATGCAGAGGAAGCTTGTGTCAGTCCGTTGCCACAGCAACAGATTATGAATCCGTACCCTTGCAGTCATAAACTAATTCTTACTACATAAAAAAATCCCCACCTGACCCGAGGGACTGTTTTCCTAACAAGGTATCCTGACGTCTGTGTGAACTCCGTAAGCTTTAACCTACATCGCTACAACACCTGTCCTCATGAACCTGAGAAATGAAATATTAAAATCAAATTCGGTCAAGAGGCCATTTTTCCATTTCTTGATTCGAAACAAGAAAACTAAATACGAAAAACACAATTTTTTGGTTCATAAAACAAAAAAAAAACAAAAAACAAATCCATTTTTCCTGTGTTGACTTTTTTGTTTTCAATCAAAAATAGAAAGATTGAATGATACACGGATTGAGAAGTTCTACGGCTCTGAGCGATGCCACATTAGACATGTTTCATTCTACAGGAGCCTGTGAGGACAAAACACATTTACTGATTTGCAACAAGTTACTAAACGTTTATCAACGTTGTTGTTTTACACATTTGTCTCTTCACTGGTTGCCAGTGATGATGTGCTTGTCATTTTGCTGGAGGTTGCGCTGCTGGACAATTTTGACCCTATTGGCCATCCGTTGGTAAGGTCTTAACAAAATTATCCCTTGCTTGCAATGAATTAGGTATGTACTGCCCCCTATTGTCAGGGAAAATACACAACGTCACTTTAAACATGATCTGCACTGTATAATCTGCACCTTTGTGCTTAGAACAGAAAACCATAGTAGAATCTATGATAGTTGAATGAATAGAACAAGTCTGGAATCCTCTAACAAGTGGGTTGGACAGAAATAGACTGCATGTCATTTTTCTGTGTGTCGTCCTCAGATGACCTCTGTGGTAAATCAGCACTTTGTAAATAAACTGAACTAACCGAATGATCGATGTTCTGCTCCACATCTTCGTCCTTGTGTTTTAATGGAGAAATCAAAACATTACTGTTATCATTTTCATCCTAAAGTTTGCTTAGTTGTTGTGATAAGCAGTAGGTCAGCTCATTTGTATTTGTTTCCTTTGCTTTTAGGAGATTTGAATGTTTCCCAGCTGCCACACTTGACTTGACTTGTCAGTTAACTGCTTGGTTTTAAAATAATAACTCAGTCAGTTTTGAGAATCAGGTTTAGTGTTTCAGCAATTCAGAAAACCTGTAATGGCCACATTTACTAAACAAAGACCACAAGTGTTTAAGGATACTAAATAAAAACAACATAGTCAAGTGGCTGCCCTCTGTAGACATAGGGGGTACCGCCAAATGACTGCTCTCTGGGAGTGTTAACAACGGATGGCCATTAGGGTCAAAAATCCCTGGGAGAAAAGCACAATTTTTGAATCAGTACTTTGTCAGATTGTTCATAGGGCTGCAAACTCTCACGCATTGAGCGTGAGACACACGTTTGACCCTCTGCACATGCCACACCTCCAATATCTCACTTTGAGCAATCAATACCCCTCCCCTCCGCTCCGTCGGTGGGCAGACGGTCCATGCCCACCCCAACCCTCCGCTCTCACGCGCTGGAATGTTCAAAAGTTGGCAGCTCTGCGTTCGCCTACCAGCAAAACGAAAAGCACACCGGAGTCCCTTTCATCACAAACAATGAGTGAAGAGGTAAATGTGTGAAACAACAACGTTTATGAACGCTGGTTCTGATGCTCAAGCCACCTGAAGTGGCTCCTCTTGATGTGGAGGAGCAGCAGATCTACTGTGAGCGTCTCCAGGATGAGCAAGCTTCTAACCTTATCTCCAAAACAAAGCCCAGCCCTGTAGAAAAAACTAATTTCAGCCTTGTTTATCTGCGACGATGTACAAGGGGTCCAACATGCTAACCATACTGTATCCATGATAAAGCTTCAACTCCATCACATCATCAGTATCGTGCATGAATGATCATCCAGCATTTAGCTGCATCCTGACAAGGTTTCAGAAAGCCAGAACAAGGTCCAGTGCATGGTGCTATAAAGAATTTGTTGTTTGTTATAAACTAGAGAGTTAGTTATTGATAAAAAACCTCATCAGACACAATCTGTTGTGTCTACTACCCGTGTGGAGACCCTCAGTGCAGATCCAAGACTGTCAGAAGTCGGGCAACCTCAAGATATCCGAAGCCGTAGATTAACTCCAATACGACCCGTCCAGTCTTGAGATGTCTCTGAGTCACAACAGGAGCTGGAATGCTTGTTTGCGTCTAAGGTTGATGTTTGCTTGGCTCTTAGAAGAGCTGGTTGTCTGGTATCAGCCGCAGCGCTGCAGAGGCTTTGACAGGAGGTCAAAGGAGATTGTTTCAAAAGAGGCTTCTTTCCCGATTTGGCCGAATCGGGAGTTAGCTGGAAACTGAATTGCTCGGGAAGTTATTCTTGTTTTATTAAACTACTTTGTTATGATTTCTGTCCAAGTGTGGCCAATCAGAATTTGACACGTTTCTGAGTTTTTACCGAAAGCCACGCCTTCCTTCAATACAAAAGGTTTTTAACACTGTGAATAAGAATCTTTAAAACTCTTATGTAAGGTGAATATTAACCTTAATGAGTATCTTATTAGTGTGTATGAGTGTAAACAATGATTAACTTTTTAAATCAACACATACTGATTGTGATATAAATGGATCATTGTAAGAGCAATATTCATTTCAAATTCATGGATTTAAGCACAGATTATTCAAACATTTCATTTAAACATCTTGTTCATTCATCACATATGATTATTGTAACTTATAAGTGTAAAATTATGGCGTCTTCACTTATTCAGAGTGAAGAATGTTGACGTCTGGCTTTCACACAGGGAGTGCAGGTACCTTGAGGGAAAATGTTTATGATTGAGTTGAGGAACAATAAGTGAGCAAAGGGTTGTTTAGTGAGTCCAGATGGTGTTGCCATGAAAGGTTATCGTGTTGGTCGACATGTAGGTGAAAATTGACCCTTTTGGTACGCTACACTGTAAATTAAGTACTGTAAAGTTATTTTATTACAAACCTTCTTGTTTCTTCTTCTTGCACTTCAGCAGTACATCATCATCTTCATCAGCCTCAGATTGATAACCATCATCATCATCTTCATCAGCATCACCATAGTGCCATTACTTTTGCAATAACATCAGAATTATGACATCATCAATCTTATCTTGTTTTTATGATTGAACCCAACTTAGGTTAAATATGAGAATTATTTCATTAAAGATAATTAACCCTCTGGAGGCAGGCGTAGCAGATTTGCAACAGTTAAAACCTACCTACCTGGTTACTCCACGTACGTAATCATGAGCATTTTTAACTCAGAAGTACTCCTGAAGGACTTAATTGTTCGTCCTTTTATCAAAACTTATTTTGAGCCTGAAAGGGTTAATTTATCTTAATAAAACTATTAACAAAATATGTCTCACTCATTAATAATGGAAGAATGATTTGTGCTTTAACATGTCAATATTTAGGCTTTTAAATTAGATGCTTTTGTTTATGTCAGAACATTCAGCAGGGCACCACAGGGAATCGAACCCCGTCTCATTGAGAGTACCGTTACCGGTGCCTTTTACTTTTTGTTTTGACGAGGAAAAGCAAAACCTGCATCAAGAAATGACCTCAAGATGCAGGAAAACAAACCTTTACTAATCATTTCAGGCCTGATTCAAGATGAGTTACTTTTGTGATTAGTTCAATTGTTTATTTTTAAAACATTTTGATGATTTCACTTGAATTCTATTTAGTATTTTTTTCTGCTAATTAACAACACAAATCATCTTAAAGCACTTTACTAAGCAGACATCCCAGTTGGGCCTACTTATGAAACAGTGCTTTAAGTTCAGTTCATTATACTAGTTAGTTAAAAGGTTCCTGACTAACGAATCCAGCAGATTGCATGGAGTCACTAATGGCTTTTTTTTTTCTTTTTTTTTAACCTATTCCTAAGGTATAAATTGTCTATTGTATTGAGTTTATTTTATCTCATTAAGATTGAACTTATTGTATTTCAGTGTTTTCTCCCTCTGCTGCATAACTTTTACCTTACTTTTAC